GAAAAAGTCATGTGCAAATAAGAACGGCAACCATAGAGAATGAATTCAACAACTAACATTTGTCAAAGACAGAATAGTTTTTTTTTTTTTTCAACAAGTAATTAGTAAAACAATTTTGAACATGTGAATACATACTTACGCAATAATATGACAGTAAATGACACATTAAAAAATTAACTAAAGTCCATTTCTTCGATTTTTTTACAGATTCCTTACGTAACAGCTTCAGCAGGTACTAATTTATTCGTTTAAGTTTAAATGGGATAAATCATAGAGCAAAAGTCGCAGAAATACAGTTTGTAAAATAATTTTACAAAATTTTAAATCAAAGTCCAGCTTCCTGTAAGGTAAGTTATTTCCACTTCCAGCGAGGAAAAAGTTCTTTTACCGAGCATTTCGTTTGCAAATCATTTGAGTAGCTCAATTTTCAGGCATTGCGGGGGAATGTTTGCACTGTACAGCGTTAAAATGGCTTATCACTGGCCGAAAAATAACTGAAACTGTGTCAAGGCCGTACCACTGAATGAACCATCACATTTTTTAGTAACTCTTTTCTCATTCTACTTACTCAACAAGCTACTGTCTTATTCTAGTCACAAGTAAAAAACTTATTTGTTCGTGCTTATCCTTCCTGTCGGTGATTGCTTTTCAACATTCTCAAATGCTGCCGTTTTCTTCACCTTGTGGCCAACAATCGCCAGTATCTCACTATTTATTTGAACGCAGAAGCTGATAAAATTTTTTTGGATATCCGCTCGCCTCTTTGCCTGAAAAAAAAAACAGCGAAAAACATCCGTAATTCAGCGCTGAACAGTACAGTAAGAACTAGCAATCAGTAATTCGTCAGTTCTGCCGTTCGATAGTTAACGGCGACAGTGAGTACAAAATTTTCAGTGCCACTCTTTCCCATTGTTAATTGACAGTTGGTGTTGCAAAAGATGGCTTCAAATTTTGGATCAACAGCGGTATGTCTAAATTTAGTAGAATTCCGTCCTCTGAAAAAACTGAATTAAAATATGTAGTTCTAAGTGATGCTCCAATCCGAAATGGCTAGAAGCTTCCTCACAATCAGAGAACCAGTCTTTTTTTTTTTTTTGATATCCGCTCGCCTCTTTGCCTGAAAAAAAAAA